AGGGTGGACGTTCGTTATATTCGTTGTTATTATCGCTATTGCAGGCCGTGGGTGTGTGTGCGTTGCGATGACTTGCTGCACTGCTGCAGTGTAACGACGACCCTTGTTAAGAGGGGGAGGGGAGGGKTCGGATTGTGAAATGACTTTAAGCGGTCGGTCTGCACGGACGAGACGGTTCGCGATGTACCTACTTACCGCGGAAATGATACCGTATATTATATACGTAGATGTATGGTAAAGTCTTATTATTTATAATAGTATTRTACTTCATGGACAACGGGCGCATTACAGATAGCRAGATAAAATTCCTGGTAAAACTACTGTAACCATAATAATGTTTTTCGCTAAACATAATATCTATATAACCGTTTGAAATCAATTATCGCGATTCGACGAGTTCTGAGAAATTTTGCTTTCTGACCAAATAAATCAGCTGTACCAACATTCTTACAGCACATTCGCACTTTTAATGTAAAATTTTACGCACGGACCACAGGGTGATCACCTGCAAAGTGCAAGTACGCTCATCTGCGACAACTCTGCAGTAACCTTCGAAATTCCATGACATTCGCAAGCACGTAACGTAATCTACATAACAATATGCTGATGTTTAGATATTGATATTGTACATACATTTTTTCCGTTTCCGGTCGGTTTCGTCACGATAACACCGACACCCTCTCTTCACCTCGCCGTTGACGTGCGGTGTCCATTGCACAGATCGTTTACTAATTAAAAATATACATCGTGAAAAATGGACAATTATTATCATTATATCGTCGCCCGCTGCGTGTCGCGTCAGACGGAGACTCRCTCTTGTTTTTTTTCCACCGCACCCGTCTCGTCCACAAGTGAAACCAGCTCTGCGTGACATTTTTCGTGTTATATTGTAGAATTTCATATTGCAATATTATGGACTATGGAGAAGGCTTTCAATTCGTCAATCCGGTACACCCTATGGGCAGGGCAGCCAAGATTAAGCGTTGGAGTACACAAGTACGTAATTATATTAATTATATTATTAATTATTATCCTAGTTTTTTTTTTCTGTTACCTAGGTAGGCCGGTATTAATTTTTTATTTTACCATCAAACTATGTTTTTATATCCTACTTTGGATATGGACTAAAATAACAATATTACTATGATTTTCATTATTACCATGACTTAGTGGTAGCCCCAGGCTATTTATATACCGCRTGTTTCAAATTTTTAACCATCTTGGTACACGCATGCGCAATRCAACTTTTTTTTCAATAGCAATCGTTATTTTTGATACCAAATTCGGATAGACTGAATTTTTTTAAGTCATTTTGACCAATTAACCATGGCTCTAAAACCAAAATTGACTGAACGAGAACCATTCAAATTTTAATAAATAATACATTTTTACAATTCATTATAAAATGCATAAGACCATTTATAATATTATTTATTATTGGTTACTTTTTGAACATTTTTTTTTATACGTGTTATAAATAAGATTAACATAATATGGATATAAAATTATTTAATTTAAATTGATTACAATTTACAACTGTATACGTAAAATATGTAAAAAGTAACCAATAATAAATAATTACAAATGGTTTTATGCATTTTATAATGAATTGTTTTAGAGCCATGGTGTTAATTGGTCAAAATAACTTAAAATCCAGTCTATCTGAATTTGGTCTCAAAAATAACGGTCGCTATTTAAAAAAAAGTTGCAGTACCAAGAGGGTTAAAAATTGGAAATTTAATCTGAAAATGTGTATTTATATACCACTAGCTTGTAAAAAAAAATCGATTTATTCAACCATAATCCGGCCGAGAAATTCAGTGTTCCTTTTAATTAGCACGGTATACTTATTTAGTTATTCTTTTGCCGTGGTATGGCCGATACTAACGTTGATATTATAATAATCATAATATTCATTGTCCATATTGTATATGTTGTTATTAACATTATACATCCTAATTTATTATGTCGCTCTGTCGTTCACGATGATATAATATTTCTATAACTTTAAACTTTTTTCTTTGCGAAGTTCTTATAATGCGTTAGATTTATTTTTGTTTTTACCTTAAATATTTCTCAAATATAATATATTTTAATTATAATCTAATATGCTTTGACCATCATTATTCTTTTATTCATCCTACCATACAGAATTATTACATTATCCTGAAAACGACCCAAAAAAACCACTTTGCCATCGGTCATCATATTATAATATACACTGCAGCACTATAATGCACGAAAACTGACCATTGAAAGTGTGAGGTTTTTCAAATGTATGGTGGTTTGAAAATGTAAGTACCTAATTAATATAAAACCATCACAATTTATTTGTWATTTATTTATAATTTTTTATAAGAATAGTTCAAGTACAGTAAATACTAAATTCAATATTCTGATTTATTTTATATTTTGTAAAATAATTTTAAAGACTGCAGTCATYCTTAATACGAACATTTAATAATAACTAAAATCTATTAGATCAAATTTTGAAAACAATTCGGGACTAAGTAACTTACAGTAAAAAAGYGGGGTTAGCATGTGAGAAACAGAAATTTGTATCGCCACGGGACATTCTGGAAGTAATAAAAATTTACTCAAAATTTGAAAATAAAGTTTTTAACTAGTATACTATAATTTAAAAACTACAAAAATCAGAATTCGAATAAATATTATTTAAATAAAAAATAGGGATGAGCGTGATCAATGAATCACCCTGTAATATTTAGGTACTAYYTACACGCATGACATGCATAATAGTATTATGTAAGTTTACATCGTGTTTTCATCGTGAATGCCTAATATTCAATAATATAATTATTATTATTTGAAGTCGGGAGTACATTATTATGCACGCGTTGTCGAACGATTTTCGTATAAAATAATAATATTATTTGGGCCTGCTATAATGTAATACAATGCGCATCATATCGTTTTTCTTACGACGATGTGTGATCAACCGAAAATCCAAATATTTTCCATACGGTTTTCAGAAAATCTCGTACCTAATCATAATAATAATGTCTTATAATCATTACTATTTCGTTTATACAGCTCACAGATGTTATTGAATTCTCACCGGAATGCGTCGCTGCATGATAGTTGCGATGGGAACTGTAGGGATACCTCAATAATATATTCTGCAGRTTTATGTTGTAGTAAAATAATAGTGGTAGGTAGATAGGCAGTGCCGCAAGTCCGTAACCAGAAAAATATTTTTATCATTATTATTATTAATTTTTTTTTTGGGGGGGAGGGGGGGTTAGAGTATAAATATGTTAAGTAATAAAATATTATTTAAATTAATAACATGAAATTTTTTTTAAAATTTCGGTAGGTAATAAGTACATTATCTTATATTTCTACATTAATAACTAAAATTCATTACACTTTACTATATACAAGTTAAATATATACAATATACATATCAAAAAAATAAAAAAATATATAAAACGTATACTACAATTTACAACTATACTAATTTAATTTTCCTTGAAGTATATGAAAATCTTTTAATAACTAAAAAAAAATTTCAGGGGGGTCTGAGTAATTCTAAAGGAGCAAGCGACGAGGGCATTTTCTACCATCTATAATTGTGAAACTCAGTCCAATTATTGGGTCGATGGTCGGTGAAATAACATATAATCATATTTTTTTTAAATATTTCAACGATATATAATATTTTCTAGGTATAACTGGTATTAACATCGAGTTTTAACATTGAGTTTAATGTATTGTATTATTTGTACTTAATGGTGTTAGGTCTTAGGTTAGCATTAAAAAACTAYTGTAACGATAATAATTTATATGTCTTATAGTTTTTTAGWTCATATATTATATTATATTGTAGATGCTGATACTATCTATAGACATTCTAAAAACAAAACGATCTCACCATCCATGATCTCGAMAAAAACTCTCTATAATATGATTTTAGAAAGTATCGATAAATTTTCGATTTTTCAATCTCGTCTTTGTAGTTTTATTTCATATTGTATTTTAATCTTTTCGAGTGTTTGATCTCTTTTAGAAATCTATATAGAATTATATCGAGCTAAAAATGTAAGTTAAAATTAGCATGCGAACAAAGTGATCTGTTTTTTTTTTCAAATACATGGACTGGACAAAACTTTTGCCACCTTCTACTAAAAAACTGAAATTATCATACTATTCACTGTAGTTAGGTAGATAATAAAATAATATTACATCAATATATAACATTAAATTATTGTACATAAGCTGGTACGGCGAGATTTCAAGTTTACGGGACTAAGCTTTAGCAGACTTAATACATACCGACTCGAGACGCGGAAAAACGATACCAGCTGCATAATATTATTGTACCATATTATAAAGCTGGACATTTTTATATACATGAATATATTATGTGTGCACATTACACTCATACAATTAAATTAACGTGTTGAGCTTATGATCACGGTAAAATTATTTCACTATATATGTATACACTTGAATTCACGATCGTAGTTGTTTTCCGTTTTAACTGTTCCCGATAAAACGATTCGAGATTATGCACTAATTTAAAGGATTATCAGTTTATATTAAGAACCGTCCGTATATATAGAGGTGATTAAAAGGATACAATTAGCGGGCTTGCGTGTGTCGTATCGTTTGCATTTTGGGTTTACTTCGGTTTCACGCGCATTCGCGTTTGAATATGTATATGTGTGTAGGGTGTAGGTACCTATAATCTATATCCTRCTGTATAGTTAATAGGTTTTATGTTTATACCTGCACAAGTAAAGAGTCCACGTTTAAAGATATTCACACATTTACATACACAAGGTGTTTAACCCAACATATCTATATTAACATTTATTTTCATTTTTAGAATTTTCATGCATAYTTACATAAAGATCATATTATTTTCAAATTCCTATATTTCTTAACCATTCAAGGACTATTCCRTGGCGATATATATAAACTTATCTTTTTCAAATTAAGTTCACCTTTTTTTTTTTTACTGTAAATCGTAAATCAGATGACTTTTTGAAAACTGTGACGCATCGAATAAAACGAATTTGAAAAATATATATACTGTGAGTTATTCAACCTTAAATATATACTTAAGATAATGATTATAGTCCTTAAGGGGACGATACACATCCATCTATTGTGTAACATAGCAAATTTACACTCGGTACCTATAGATCGCGTTTAGCTCCATTAGTTTAAAAATTAGAGCGAATCGACAAATTATGAAATTTGGGGTGTTAACTGTTAAGAACATATTATCTATGTTTTTATGTGATAGGGTTTTTACGATAGTTCAATTTTAACAAATTATGCATATATAATAAAGCGTAAATTAAAATTGTTCATAACTCACTTACAAACTTAWAAGTATTAAGCAGTTGGTTAGTGAGGTATTTAAATTGAAATCGTGTTTATATTAAAACCCAAGTTATTCTTCGCGTGAAAGCMTCTACTTTTCGGGCGTATTATATGTATACAAGTGTAACTGTACTATTTCACAATTTTAGTAATATCTATTCGCAATCGATATTTATTTTGTTAAATAGTCCTGTTACACCTTATATACCTACCGCCGTAGGTTCTATTCTATATCGCACGTCGTATAATAAAATACACCATAAATATTAGTGGTCGTCACGATAGGCGACGACGGCATCGGATCCGCGGCAGCACCATCGGTGGCGACGATGAGTCTTCTGCTGCGGGTGACATTAATCCCGCGGGGCGGCCGTCGATCGAAACGATATATGATATAATATTATATATTATGTGTATGCTATATTTTCGGCCTTCGTGTCTTTTTAGCACGCTAATAAACCCGAACGACGGCGGGTACATCCTCCCCTACGCACACGCGCGACGGGGTAAAACGACATTAAAAAAAAAAATTGTTTATTATGGCGTCGGCATCAATTTTACGGGCCAGAGATCTCTGCCCACAGCTATTGTGTCCGAACGGTTATTAATCACTCCTGCGCGCGTGTACACACCCTGGTGATCTAGGGCGGGTGCAGTACACTGCAAACTGCACAGACGCGCATCAGTGGCAGTTGCAGTGGCGTACATATTATATAGTATACATAAAACGTATATATAATATATATATATATATACATGTATATATGTATATATAGGTATAAAGTATATGGCGTAGCACACTCGCGCGAACGTCGGGGGACGAGACGGGCGTGTATATATATTATTATTATTATTATTGCCCGCGCGGAGCGTGTGCMGACTCGCACAGGARGCTTATCACTTCTGTTTGTACCCCGCCCTAGTTTTATCAAGGTCCGTTCATCTGTACATTATATTATATATGTTGCCTGCAGTCCGCTTATTATTATTATTATTGTATACCAGAGCACCCACCGGATTATGTATATACATACGTATAATATATAATACTGCTCTGCAGACGTATATATACAACATACATAATATACGATGGCGACCGCCTCCGCCGAATCCGTTTGCTCATCGCCCCGTGTGAATCATCCTACACGTATTTATTATATCGTATACATAATATATAATATAATGTGACGTCCGCCACCACCGCCGACACCGCCGTAACGAATTCGATAAACAACCTAAATAAATTGATGGGTTATAATAATAAGTCCTCCGTATCGCTCCGCCACTCTTCCTACTGCCGGCATATAATGCGCACGTAATACACAGAAAGAAAGGGAACGAAAAAATTATTTCGACTATAATATTATTTCGGTCGGTTTTGGTCGCGATCATTGTATAATATCTTCTGCAGCTGTTGTGAGTTAGAACTGTAATTATGGGTATAGTGCAGATTGAAAGTCAACATCGGACAATGTTTTTGGTCGACATTTTTAGAACATTTTTAGAACATATTTATATTATAATGTAATATTTTGAGCAGTTTTTCAATAAGAAATTACCATACCCACAAGGTTCACCCTACATTTATTCCGTTTCCATTAGATTTAACTTAACTGCACAAAAACTATGAATAAGTTCAATGCTGATACAACAAAGGTATACGTATAATAACAAACCTAGCTATGGTAAAAATATAAAAATAAAAATAAAATTAGAGAATAAGAATTGGTTAGATCCCCTCAGACACTTTTTATTATTATTATTGTAAAACATACAAAAACATGGCATACTTATGGACGTTTTTTTTGCTTTGAAAATTTACATTTTACCGATACCTACGCGTAGATACGATATAATTGATTTGCACATACTTCGCTACCTTAATTATTTAATTAATTTTCCTGAGTATAGATATATATTATAATAGGTATTAATTTTGTTGGGTTGTAGGTATTTTAGACTGTTAAATATTAAAGTATGCGAAAATTATGCAAAGCTATTACGGTTGTATGATTCTAATTGCGGATGCGTTATAAACGTATAACTTATAATATAAAATATATTTAAAAAAAAATTCGAAGTAGTAAAAACACTTTTGAGATTATTCTTCAAGCAGTAAGAGAACTTTTTCATAAGTCTTTGTTTAAAACTTTTTTTTTGTAAAATTTAATTTAATTATTACGACTCTATGTGCTATATAAAACTAATCAAGACGTCGTCGTCTGAGTCGTAGAAAACTATTTTAAAAGTTAAATAGTTTTGGAGCCGACTACCTATAGGCTATAATGTTAAATAATACAAATATACAATATAGGTATATACCCATTAAACCTCGATCGATAATACAATACTGTGTTGAAGATCAATAAACATTTAAGGTATTAGGTATATTATGTTCTATAAGAGACTAAAAATTATTGCAGAATACCGTATTTTCAATTAAGCTGTAACACATAATAAAATACACAAGGGTATTTATAAGATTTAAAGTAGTTTTAGTACCCGCATTAAAAATAATTCAATAATTAAATATTCAAAATTGTATACTAAATTTATTTTCATATTTTCCGTTTACCCATCATGCGAATATGTGATGGTTAATAAATATTTCCGGTGAATAAGTATAATATTATTATTAGCTACAACTACTCTGATTAGTCTGATTAACTGAAATACTGCATGATATTATTCCACCTATATCATTATTTTAGATAATTATTTAAATATATTTAGAACTTTATACCGAAGCTTAATCGAATATTTGGTATTGAAATAATGATTTTTTTCCTGTTATATAATTTTAAATAATATAATTTTAATTTATGTCTATTGTTTAGTATGAATTGAGGAACTGGGACAGAAATTTTAAGAACATTATGTAGAGCTGGAACATTGAAAAAGATCACGAAATCGACATATTCCCAAATTCGTATCTAAGTAAAAAAAAAAAAAAATCAAGTCAAAATCATTACGGACAAATTGAGGTAAATGCTGTATATTCAATAAAAAAAATATAGTATACCTACAGAAGGTATATGAAACATAAATATTATAGACAGGTTAGGGTAGATTAGATTAAAATATTAATAAGCGTAAAAATATTTAATACCAGTATTACTTGAAATCTTAATTTTTATAAATGAAACCTAAAATTAAAGGACTGCACCCGAACATCTTTCAAAAAATCYTTTTGCGTGAAAAAGGTTTTTAYTATAGGAATATAATTTTGGTGGTGTCGTTGGACTTTCAAATAACATTGGTATTAAATATTTACCGCTTATTCTTATGTTTTTAGGCTTAAGTAACTTTAATGGAATCACCAAAGTCAAGAAATTTAGTGTAAAAACAAAAAACGTTTTGACACAAATATTAGCAATATAATAGCATCTACTCTGTCATGTACAAATTTTGTTTTCTTTACTATGGTTGTACCCTGAGTCGTATTTTTTTTTCGTGCTAAACAGTTTTTCTATATCATAAAATAATATCGTAGCTACACAGAACAGGCAACAAAGGATATAACCACCTGTAAGTCACTTTAAACTAGCTTAAACCAGTATTTAAATATATATATATATATATATCTAAGATTTAACACCATTCTCAACATTCATGTAAATCGTCTATATCAAATTCCAAGTTTTCAGCATTCAGTTTGATAACCATATTTTATGGTATTAATAACATATTATATGTTTGTTTGTTGTATTACCTATAATATATTATAAATACCTATAAGATATTTATTGTATGTAATATTGTATTTCTTTTGTATTTGTACTCAAACTTTACTATCTATACTATTGGGCCTCGGCCCGTTTTATTCTACTGAATAAACTATTATTATTATTATTATAATTAAACGACCGGAGTTTCAGAGGATATTAATTCGTCGTTTCAAGTTAAGTACGGTTTTATTTTTTACTCGGTGATCTGCGGTTAGATTACACGTCATGTAACAGTATATTATACTGCGGTTTTATACGAAAGGCAAAAAAAAAATAATAATAATAATAATAAAACAACTGTTACGCCATCAAGGCATACATATATAGTAACAACAACGGCGGGAAAAAAATCCAATAATCTTAAGAGCTTGTACGGCCCTAAACGAACTATTCTCTTTCTTCTAAGTCTCGGTTTAATTTATATCCTTGCTAAAAGAAGACCAATAAAAAGAAAGAAAAAAGGAGTACATTTCAGTTGCAGAAGTCATTCAGTCTCTCCTTTTTATATTATTTAAAAGTATAATTTCAGGGCCGAACTAGAAATAGCTGCTGCTACCGTCGCTGCGGTGGAAATGTTCCTCCTTTTTTTATATATATATATATATATTTATCTTCCGTCTTTACCGAACGGGAAACAATTTGAACAACAGAGCTTTTATACCCCCGGGATGTTGCGTTCGACCAATGGGAAACCGTCTTTTATTATTTTTTATTTTTTTCTTCAGACGTTACCCTCGATGTTTGTTTTTTGCGGTTCGGTRGACACGGAAAACCAATGCGAATTATATGTAGATAAACTTCGATAGACTGTATTAATACCCGATTAATTATCATATTGTATATCTGTGTTACTTTATATAATGTACGATGCGATATTGCGATATCGATACGATATGGTCCAGTCGAAAATAATGCGCGTAATAAAAAATAAATAACGCGTGGTATACAGAGTGACTCGTGCGATAATAGGTGTATATTGAGACGGCGAGTGCTACATAATATACACGCTCGGAATACATATTTCTGAGTGGAAAGTTTATTTTTTATTTTTGTGCCTTTGCTGAAATATTCATTCGAAAAAAAAAACGTGTATTCGTGTTCAATGAATACACGTTAATTAAAACCAAACGCGCTTCTCTCGGGCTCTTAGGAAATCGGTTTAAATTGGAAAAAGAAAAACATAAAACACGTTTTACAATGCAAATCGCGTAAAGATCAAAGTTGAAAAATTCCGAATCGGGTAGATTTTCCTTTTTCCTCTCGTTCATTTTTTTTTTAACTATGGCGACTTTGCATATTGGATTATGCCTTTGACGTCGTAGATTTTTTGCCCCTTCCTCAAGTTTTATTTTTTTATTTATATATATATTATATGCGCGTACCGCCGCCATCACCTCGGGGACTCATCATAATTATCAACAGAAAAAAAAGCGACTGGCACAAAGAGTCGAGGAGACTTTTGATCAATAAATATGCGGCGTTCTTGATTAGAAAGAAAAAGGAATTTGAATAAAAATCGTGGCCTTATGATGGAAGGAAAAATGTTTTTTTTTCTTTCTTTCTATCGGCCAAGTACCCCTTGTGAATAAATTTACGTAAATCAGCTTCGTATATATTAATTTTTGTGTGTATACACTTAATTCCCGGACTTTTTTACCGCGTCGGGGGTTTATTAAAATTTTCAAATCCAGTTTATTATTTACTTTCACGGACAGAGAYGGAGAAAATAAATCGCCGCGCTTTCTGAGCGATATTCCGCACTCTCCGTGAGCTTCAAGACTTCCACTGACTTCGCAATAGTCGAACACCTATCATAAAGGTGAAAATACGCCGAAAATAATGTATTTGTGTACCACTCRATATTTGAAAGGCGTGGCTTAAATTAGTGTATATTTATATATGTATACTATTATAAGGCGTGGAAAAAACTTGAACACGATTAAGTCGAAATCGCGAAAATGTCGACCCAGGAAATGAATGTAAGATTTAGGTTTACCTATATGAATCATCGAATTTGAAAACAATATTTTATTATATAAATCGGTGGACCAAAAAAATCGGAAATATATCTTCAAATCGTCTTCGACAACAACGTTAGGTATGTAATATATAATATACAATATATATATATATATATATATATTATAGTTATTACTTTTTGATGTAAGAAATTTGCTTGTACTTTTCCTCGATGTCTTAAAACCTATGTAGGTATATTAAAAGGCATTAATACGATCAAGTCGGTATGCCGGTGTTTATTTATTCCTATAAATACATCAAAACGTTAATTTTGTGATGGTTAATTTTGTAATTCGAACAAATCACGCTGTGAAAAAGAAACGGTTTTTCAGCCAACCGTGCAGGATCACGCCAACTCATTTGAACTTCGGAGTTCCGGTCCGTACAAGTATATGTATAGGTATATATATATATATACGTATTACATAGGTACACAGACGTGTACTCACGAGGARGACGATCGCCTGGACCCTGCAGGAGTGATGGTCGGGAAATATTCAAATCCGCGAAAAACATTTTCGTATCGCSGAAAACGTGCGTCGGCATAATGCAATATGCTCACACATCATWCATAATATTATAGCAAATACATACACACACATACACATATATTTGTACAAAGAAAAAAAAATCATATTTCGTTCGGTCGATTTAAAACAATCTCCGAGTCGGTTTTCTTTTATTGGGGGCCTGCCGACACACTCATGCACACCCATGTATACACATTATTATACACACATAACCGCCACGCACGTCGCCCGGCGACGACCCTCGTCACRCCGCTGCGGCGGTATACAGCGTCATACGCCGGGCGACTCGGGTTTTGATGGATGAAGATTGATGACCGTTAATGCGAATTCGAGGGCTTTTCCGAAAGACGGCCAGCGCGTAATAGATTTTTCTCCTCGAGCCGCCTACGCCGAAACGAACGAATGTGCAACGGATATCGCGTGCGTGACGCGGATGTATACGTATAATATGTATATTGTATATATATATATCATATTATATATATAGGTACGCGGAGGAGAATAATAATAATAATATTATGATGATGTGGAAAAAGAGGAGAATATTATATCCAGCCACGGTTGGGTTGGGTCATTCACTCATACATCGCGAKAGGGGAGGGTCAAGTTGTCTCGTGTATGKGTGTGTGTGTGTGCGTGTGCGTGTGCGTGTGTGTGTGCGTGTGTGTGTGTGTGTGTGTGTGTGTGTGTGTGTGTGTGTGTGTGAATTTCTTGAGAAGAGGCAAAAATTATACTTTTGCCTCCCTCCACAGATGTATCTACAGTGCAGATATTATATTATATTTTCCTATACAAATTATAGAATGAATACAATACATTTTTGTGAGATCAAAATACTTTTTGTCAAATTATTGCATACAAGTGCTTACCTACATTTATATCACGCTTCTATATATTGCTGTATATTATGATGTCGTATTGTCAACGTTATCGTTATCATTCTAAAGTTAATATTATTTTATAAATTTTGATTACCTTGAATTATTTTTTTTAAGCAAATTATGTTCAGATAAACCACCTTTTTTTTCATTTAACTCATATGTATATACTTAATACTATTATTAACTATGATATGTGTCGAAGATATAGAATGAGTTTAAGACTTGCGCAATAACCAACAACTATATGGGTTCTGGTTTTGAGTTTTGTGAATTAATTATTTGTTCCCCTCTCCTAGTTATTTTATACCCAGCTACACCATTGGGCACTTACAAATCGTATTATATATTATGATAATACAGCCTTTGAAGGATAATCCACGAGTGGCGTTAATTATATTACGATAAATGTACCTCTATGTAAAGAATGGCGGTCTGCCGTTGTATTGTCATCGAGTTTTGCGTGTACGTGCGTATAACAATAAACGGTAGGAATGATAGAACAATCGACGCAACGTCGCGCACTTGACCGTATAGTGGTATATATATAACAGTGGGTAAACCATCTTAGGGGAGGACTATGGATATTAAAAAAATCATGCGCATTCCAGCCAATTTCCAGACCATATTTTTCTATACGCATCATAATTTTTGAATTTTACTTATTATAAGCAAAAACGATTTACTATAGTAGAGTATATATATATAGTATAGGTGTATAATAGATATAAAATTATCATAATTTCAGTTATATAGAGATGAGTGATTACTGAAAAACCTATAATGGGCATAATGTCGCATGGCTTTTGATGAAAACAAAAAGATACGT